GTCCACCCTGCATGTTTGTAGGTTGCAGACTCCTGGGCTGAGGCATCTGGAAATGTAGGCAGTGGACTTATCCTTGCCATACCGGTGTTCTGGCGGCAGCCCCCACCTCCTAAATAAAAAGCTGTTGTAAATTAGGGTGAGCTGAGGCCACCGCTTTAACTGTGTCCTCTTCAGGGAATGTACAGCTTGATCTTGTTCTGGACCCTGGTTCCACATTTCCCTGTTTCTTAAAAGTTTGTATGGCTATCCATCAATTTCAGCCAAGCCTACAATAAAATCTTAGTTGAACCTCACTAGGCCTACCAAGGACCTTAACAGCTCTTCATGTGTGGGCCTTGGGGAGTTCAGTAACTGTCTTAACCATGTCCTGGAGAGTTTGCTTTCCCTTGAGGCTGACTTCAGTTCACAGGTAGGAAACCCTTTCTCTGGCCATCTGGGCCTTTTCACCATTTAACTTTAAGCTAGCTTGGCTCGGCAATATAAACAAATGGGCTAGGACTCCCTTATGTTTTTCTTCAGTCTCAAATGCCACCAGAATACCACTACAAGCTAGTACCTGCTCTGTGCCCAGTAGAAGTTTAAGCATCTTAGTCACTGAAGCATGAAAGAGCAGGGATTTCTGAAAGCTTTGTGGCAAATTAATCCATTCATATTGCTGCCTCCTGTGTGTAAAAACAATTTTATATCGACTCCCATGAGCTATGGAAGTAGACCGAAAACTGTAGGTGACAGCAAAAAGTACCGTTTCCCCTCGGGGGCCTCTCCAATAAATCTTGATAGAAGGCAACCACTGGAGCCTATACTGGAGTATTTTGATTTAACCCTCAATAGTGAGCCTTCCTTATAGGCCAGGTTGTGAAGTTATCGTCACTGTGGGATAGTAAATTCACTGGTTTACCAAGGACTCAGTAATCTGGGTCATCACTTCCTCCACCTCAAAAGGAAAATGTTACATGGCCTATTCCACACCTTTATTTTTACCTTAGGGTACCCCCAGGCATCCCAGGTAATTGGTACCCCTTGGGTTTGTGGAGCAAGCTGTCCTAATGCCCGATGGCCCACACTGCATGTCACTTAGTGGTTCTGGGAAGGCTTTACCCACTGTTCTTTTTAGCAAGCTTTAAAACCAATGGTACCCTGAGGGACTTCCTCGTACCTTTTAGTTGCTCTTTTAATTCCTGGAAAGAGGAACCTTCTGTTCTCTAAAATTCCCACTGTGCATTGGGACTTTCCTATTTTTATTTCCCATTTTATTGGTCTCCTTTTAGGCTTCACAGTGGCCAGAGTTCTGGACTTGCTCTTAGCTTTAAAACTCTCTCAGATCTGCTTTGCCAAACCTCAGCCGCCCTTTTGGCTGCATTTAAAACCTCATCTTGGGCTGAGGTGGCGTCTACAACTGTAACGATTCTATTTCTAAGACCTGGCTGGAAACCAGCCAAGAACATCTGTTTGTGAACTGCATCATCCCAGTCACCTTCAGGAAATGTGAGGCTATTGCCAGCCCGGAATCCAGCTTCAAAAATTTGAGGGTTTTCCGTCTCCATCCATTTCGTATCCATTGTGTAAAAGGTAGAAATTACTTTCCTCTAACAGTGCAGCAACTATGGCTTTTTGCTGCTCTTAGCTGTGTTTCACCTTCCACCTGTTCATTTAAAATTTCAGGAAAAAGAATCAATTTTTGATCTGGCGTCCATGCCAATGTTGCAACCCAGGTCCTGGTCTGTCCACCCCTTTACAGTGGTTTCCCTCACTCAATTAGCGAGTCAAATCGATATGGCAGGAAGGACAAGAATAGGTCTGAAACAAGGTTTTGAACTTCAGGAGGGCTGGCTGAGAAACTAAGACAGTGCAATAAGGGGGTGACTAGATTTGAGGGCCAAGACTTGGATGTGCAAGCACTGTTGAATGATTTTAAGGCAAAAGTATAAATTCATCAGACAACTGCATCCCAGGGAAGGGGGTAGGGGGGAGCAGTAGAAGCTACAGCCCTGCTCCAAGGAACAAGCACTTCATACAGGCCACTAAGGAGAAGCAGATCTATCGGCACTGGAAGATGGTATTGATCAGTAAGGAACATCTTCCAGTGTTCCAAGAATGCAGGAATAAAGTGAAACTAGCTTACAAAAAAGAAAAAAACCCCCAAAACAAAACACTTCCCCTCTCCCCCAAACTGAATAAAGTTAGATCTTGCAAAGACTATTACAGGGCAAGTGGCAGAGGTTGCCATAACCTTGTTACATTAATAAGGGGGGGTTGGGGGAGGGGTGGAGCTGAACACCCCCACCTGAAGAACTGATACTACCAGCACTGTATCCTAAGGGCCCCACCGTGGTTGGAAAGCCAGTTCTTCCTGCCCTTGCTGTGCCTGTCTTAAAGGATTTTCTCAAGCCCCTGGGGCTCACTGGCCATTTTCATCCTGCTGTCAGATCTGCCAGCATTGCAAGTCCTGTGTATGCCTGGGACCAAATGCACCACCGGGGCTAGATTTAGCAGCAGACCGTGGGAGGGAGGGCGGGCCAGACCCATCCTGCACCTGGGCCTGTGTTGTATGAGCCAGCAGTGAGTCAGGCAGCAGCGGAAGGGGGTGCTGGCCCCAGACCAGGCAACCCAAGGTGAGAATTAGCCTTTTCCTCTGACCCTGCAGCATGGAACAGCAAGTTAAAAATACTCTGCTCTCCGCCTTGCTGGGCTCTCCCACCCTCACTGGCACAAGCCCCAGACAGAAGTACCCATTGCTGGGGTTAGCTTGGCAGGCTCCCTCTTTATGACTGGGTACAGCCAGTGCTAGTAGATGCCAGGTGAACCTGGAAGCAGAGCAGGGAGAGATGGTTGCAGTATTGATTAAATGCCAAAGGGTAGAGCAAGGCAAAGCCAGGAGCCAACTCCCCAGCAGCTCTGGCTCTCTGAAGTGAACTCAGCCCAAGCCCTGCCCCTGCTGTCAGGACTCCTCCATCCTTATGACCCACCCAAAGTGCTTCCTGTCCTCCTCCTCCTGCTAACTGCCAGAGAGTGAGAGAGAGAGAGAGAGAGTTGGGGGGGGGCATAGAGAAGAGCATGGCTTCCGCAAATTTTGGGGGGAAATCGTATGATTGGAAATACAGCACAGGTCAATGCATGCAGGCTGAGCTTTACAAGGTCCCAGAGTACCAACACAAGGGCAGCACACCAGTCTTGCACACTGCCCACAACAGGCTCCAGCCCTTATCCAGTGGGCTTCTGTTCTGTGCCTGCTGGGCCTAATCCCATACATGCACTGAGTTTGAAGGATTTGTTCCTGCTTCTCTCAGTCCCCACACACCCTGGACCAGGAGGGCAGGCACTGCATTTGAGGGACAGGGGGACTGGTCCTAAACCCAGGGCTAAGTGTTGTGGGTGGGATTTCCAGGAAGCCCTGAATTACCACTACTTAGGCAAATGTTGAAGGGGCAGGCTTAGGTTGCCCCTTGCTGGGTTCAGCTCTTTGCCAGACTGAATCTCTTTGAATGGAGATGTGTGGAGGGGAGGAAAAAAGGGAAGAGAAGTCAAATAGAAACCCCTTTGAATCCTGCCTGGGAGCATCCACACACATACACATTTACAATGGAGACAATTCAAGCCTTCATCCTTGGACTCTCACACATAAACACCACTCTGGAAACCACAGGGCAGTTCCCCACAGAGCAATCAGTCAGGCCTATGGCAGTTTTAGGCAGCATTGTTGTGGCAGGTGTGCCTCAGTTGCTTCCAGTGGCTCAGGTGTGCTGTAGACTTGGGCAGGCAGCAAAGAGCACCTGTCCAGACTCAGCACATGTTCTGTGCAGCCACCAGAGCCAGCTGAGGTCCTTGAGCAGATGGGGGCTCAGGAGCAGCAGCCTGTTGCCCTCACAATGCATGGTGGTAGCAGTTCCAGTCATGCCCTGTGCAGGCCTTGGTCCCTACAGAACGACATGAACCCAGCATTTCCTTTGTGCATTTATTAAAAAAAATAAACAGAACTTAATAGAGGCACCACTGAGAGACCCAAGCCTCACCCCACCAACCTAAACCCCCACCCCCACAAGCCCCTGCTGCTAGGCTTCTGCATGACAGCAGCCTGGCCAGCAGAGAGGACACAGGACAACAGTGACCCCCACTCACCAAGGGGCAGGCCTAAAAGCTGCCTGCAGCTTTCCAGGGGTGGGGCAAAGAAAGGTGCTTAGCATACAGTGGGCAGATAAACTGGTGGCAGATGGCATTCTGGTAACATAAAAAGCCCCCTCCTACCCTGGGGGAAGATCGCTGCAACTTACTAAGGGGTCTGGGAAGTACCACACAGCCTGGCACCCAAAGGAAGAATCCCTGCAGAGGAAGCACAGCATTCCAGACAGCCCCCTTTCAGTGGGAACAAGCTTGCAAAGGCACCGGGCTGGTGGGCAACCCCCAGTGGAACAGGTCCAGCCCAGCCTGCTCAGCCAGCAGGAGGCCAACAAACAGCCTCACACAGACTGGGCAACCATGGGCCCCACAGCCAGAAAAGAGCACAGGCCACTGTGGGAAACGCTCTACACCTGGGAACAGTGCTAGCTGGAGCCCTCTGGATTGGGAGTTAGAAACACTAGTCCTGAAGACCAGGTAAGAAACAAGAGCCAAGCAGGCCTCAGCACCAGCTCTCCATAGGTACAGAGCCACAAGGAAGAGCCCAGCCCACATTAACAAGCTGCCTCCTCCACACTGCAAGTACTGGGAGAACAATTCCACCACCAGTTCCAGTCACCCCAGGTGCCAGGATGCAGCAGCATCCAGGCAGCAGGCACCTGCCCACAGGAGCTCTCCCACTTCTTCCCCTGGAGCCCTGCAAGGCACGACCTGCCCAGCTTCCTTTGGTGCCTTCCTGTGGGATAGGCAGGAATGGCCCAGGGAAAACCACACCTGTTGGACTGCTATGAACTACCAGGAACGGGAGCAAGCACCCTGCATCAGGCATCCTGCAGGTGCACTGTAACAGCCAAAGGTGCTCACGCATGTTGGGGGAAAGGGTTTTCTATAAATAAGTTAAGGAGATAAACCAGGGAGGGAAACCAACTACTGCCCAGGGAAGTGGATGCCCAGGACAGATGCCCCACACCCCTACTCAAAGCTGGGGGCAGTGAGGACCCCCCAGGAACAGCATCTTTTCCTCAGGAGCATGTAGAGCTAAGGTCTCCAACCCAACATTCCTGCCTGTCCGCTTCGCTCCTCCAGCGGTGTCCCAAGCTCTGAGCTCCCTAGCACAGCAGCCACAGGGGCAGACTGGCACTCCTTTACCATCAGCAGGGCACAAGTAACTGGGGCAGCCCCAGCACCTTACAGATCCTGGTACATTAGCCTGCACTGCAGCTCATGCCACGTGGACTAGAATGCTGGCCCCAGAGAGCTAACTGGGGAAGGAGCTGGCATCAGGTTGGTGACTCCAGAGATCAGGGGCAAAGCACAGTCCCTGTGGGAGAGGGAGGCCCGAGTCAGGCACATGCACTGGGCTGCAGTGACCAGCTGGCTCTTCCAACCGAGGCGTCTGCCTGGTGCCCAAGCTGGTGAGGTACATGTTCAGGAGCTGGGCAATCTCATCCACCTGCAGGACAGCAATAGACAGCAATCAGCGGGATGAAGCCCTGGGCTAGACTTCTCCTTCCCTCCCCATTCTGCCTTCCAAACTAGTACTTTATCTCCCTGCCCCACAAGACAAGGCCTTGCTCCCTGGCCAACTGGAAGTCCCAGACAGATCCCAGTCAGCTTCTTGCGAGGGTTGCTGCAGACCCTGCCCCTGGCCACACCCAGGTGAAGTGCCAGGTCTTGGAGTTGGGCTGCACTCTCACAAGGATAAGGGCCAGGAGCAGACGAGGGTCAAAAGCAGCTGGCTCCATGGTGTGGGGCCAGGCTGCTGGGCAATAAGCTACCTCACACCTGAGCCACGAGAAAAAAAAAACCAGCCAGGGCAGAGTGGAGAGCAGTCAGAACACTGCTTAGCAAAGGCCTTACCTGGGAGGTCTCAAAGAGCAGATCCCTGTCCCCTATGGAGAGGCGGAAAGTGCTGCTGTCAGGCACACCGAAGGAGGAGATATGGCCATAACAGAAGCTGTCCATGGGCTCAGCCTCCCCAGGCTTGTATAGTGACACAGCCTTGGCCCCGATGCCCAGCCACAGCCGCTGAGGCCCAGTGCCCACCAAGCTCTGCAGACAGATGGACATCAGCATCAAGGGCTGTCCCATTCATCCTACAACACCAATCTCCTCAGCCCCACATTATACCCAGGACTCACCCAGCCCAGCCCTGGGGGTTCAAGCAGGATGCTAAGCAGCCCAACAAGCTCAGGGAGATAGTGGCAGCAGGGGACTATGCTTCTGCCCCAGGCTGGGTGAGAACCATATGACACCTGTCCTCAGTGAGCTTAGGCTCCAGGACCCAGCCCACTACACAGAGGGCTCCTGCAGGTTATCCCGGCTGCCAAAACATGCCTCGTCCCAGGACAACCTGGGGCACAGGCTGGAGATTGCAGTCAGTGGCCAGAAGTCCCCTTTCCAGCAGATTCCTAAGCCCAAGCAGGACAACTCCAGCTCAGGCAGACCCCACAGCTCCCAGCCATCCACGCAGAATGATAGAGCTCCAGCCTCTCCACGTAGCGCAGGAGGAGGCAGCTGCTGCACTGAGCGAGTCCAACCAGGGCAGGCAAAGGAAGAGGGTCTCACCGTGTGAAAATCCACATCAAAGAGGGTGGAGCCAAAAGCTGGCCACTCCCGGACCAGCGCCATGTAGGCTGCCATGGCCTCAGGCCGGCCCATGCCCTGCAGCAATTTCCACTTCTCCACAATGGCAGCCATCATGCTGGCCCCCTCCTCCCGCAGACGCCCACGCAGTTTCTGGTCCTGCTCAGCCTGCTGCTTGGCCAGTGAGTGACCCCACAGGCCACCAGGCAGGGCGCCAGCCAGCAGCCCCGCACGGAAGCGGGGGCCAGGGCACTTGGTCGAGGCAGGGGCCTGCTGGGGGGCCTGGAGGCGGGTGTGTAGCACACTGGTCGGGAAGAGCTCCTCCAGGCGAGGGAAGGGGGCATGCGTGGAGAAGTCACTGTTGAGGCTCTGCAGGCGCAGGGCAGCCAGGGTCTGCAGCATCTCCTCCGACGTGGGTACGTAGCCTCGGATCACCATCTCGTGGGCCTGCAAAAGAGGGTAAGGGCTGAGCGTGGCAGCATCAGGTGCAGGAAATGGGCATGGCTGACCACCCAATGCTTGACACCCATGCACAGTACCTCAGCCTCCCACCGCAGGTGCATCTCGCCCTCTCCAGACCAGTTGCCACAAGAACGGGGGCAAGCAAAAAAAAAAAAAAAAAGCTTTC